TCAGCTCTTTTGCCAATGGTAAATAAGTTTCTTCAAAAACAGTGCAGCTTACCTGCTTTAGCAATCCGCAAGCTTGCATTTTTCCGCGTTTCCGTTTTTATTTCCGTATTTATTTAAAGTTTTTTATTTCATGCGCATGGGAGCGAAACACAGAGATGCTCGGTGTATTTTTCTCAAATTAGAACAGTTCTTAAATATTTTTCTGTAATCACGCTTTGGTGTGCTCACAAGATTACCTGCGTTCGTAGCACGTATTTCTATGCATTCCTGTGTTTACAACGTTAGCATTGTTCCAAAATCACGCACATTCTCCTTTCTCCCTATTTGCTGGAGATACAGTAGCTTTTTTAAATACAATTGGTCACTTGCATCTGTAGCACGCATTCCTATAGAGTGGTATAGAATTACAGCGTATCTCTTGTGTCTACTGAGGTATTAGCGCGCACTGTATCGTAGTACTTAGGCTGCGCATTCGACACAAATTAAAATACAAAATATAAAAACCCGTCCCGATTTTTCAGCGCACACGACACAGTTTCAGGGTCATTTGGCGTACCACTTGGCGGCACTCCATGTACCACTGCCAGTACGCGTACCACAGTTTGAGAACCACTGGTCTAACACATAATGTACTTGGAGGGAAAAAAAAATAAACCTAGACATTCAAATTCTCGCTCATAATAATAGAAGATTGAAGAAGATTCATTTTTAAGTAGAGACTCTGAAAGGTGCAATGTAAATGACTTTTTAATCAAAATCTTTCATCTTTTAAAATCTTTTAATCTTTTATCCACGTATTGACTGTTTTCTTTACTTTCTTTCCAGATCATGGGTTATAGGTGCTATTGCACTTCTCTGTCTGCTTGGATTGACCTGGGCTTTTGGACTGATGTACATCAATGAAAGCACAGTCATTATGGCCTACCTTTTTACAATATTCAACTCCCTTCAAGGAATGTTCATTTTCATTTTCCACTGTGTCCTTCAAAAGAAGGTAAGAGGATTTAATATATATAATATCTCCAGTGCTCCTGTTCAGAAACTGAAATACTGTTTACATAAAAAGTGAAACTTTATATTGCAAAAAGAAAACAACCATCAAAGTTCAAAGTTAATATCATTTGGAAGGATTCAGAGCAGCAGCTACTGTATACTAATTTATTTTATATTTATATTGTTATTTGTTTTCCTTTTTCATTGTACTTTCTTAAAGACAAGATCTGAATTACCAAAAATTCTAAAACTGTTTTCAAACACTTATTTCAATATGTGAAAATGTATTTCATACCAAAGTAGAAAAAATGTCGAAAGGTTTCATTACAAAGTTTTCTTTCAAAGTGACCATTACAGCCACATTTTGTCTCTTTTTGACTGATAAGATGTAAAAATCAAATAGCTATGTCAGGTCCTGACAACAGCTTGCTATTCAAGCAGATTAATAAAGTAATAATTATACAAACACACCCCCTTGCGCAGGAAGTACTGAGTATAACACAACACATACAGTATTCACAATATCTTAACAAATACACACAAAAACCTCTAGAATTATTATTTACAGACCTAAGAGTCCTCCCTTCTATAGACACAAACGGCACAGAACTTTACCTGCCACAGATATCATAAAGGGAAAAGAGAAAACATGTGCCTCATCAAATAAAAGATGCCACTTCGTCCTAAATTACATTTTAAAAGAGATGCTCAGCAACTGGGAACCTATTTCCCTATTCAAAATAATGTATCACTAACAAAATGAGAGGTTTATTTTAGCCTGATGGATAGTAAATCAGTATATCCAACAAAAACAAGACTTCAGTCCCTTACTTAAGGCCCTTCAATTACCTTTGTGATTTCTAGATTCTTAGTCTGTCAAAACAGGTACTCTCTCACTGTTTCTGCTCTCTCCTTTTCTCTCACTTCCTCTCTGTTTCTCTATTCCTTCTATCCTGTCTTCTCTATTGATCTTCCAAGAAGGCTGGTTTAATAATGATTTAACAGCAAATAGGTTTAGTTAAGAATTAGTACAATTGTTTGAGTGTCTGAATCTTTGGCCGTTATACCAAAGTGACAGAATAAGACATCCCCCTGTCTATAAACAGTTTATGCAAATCATCTCAAGGCTTCCCTATTGTTTTAACTCGTAGAATAGCATACTTTTGATGGGAAATTCAAAAAGTTGGACATCCAGAGACATACAAATATATATTAATAAATGCTGATTTTTTTTTTAAACAAAAGAGAACTGAATACCTTCTGTTGCATGAAACATTTGTGCAGAACCTATAAGTACTTTAAAGTTTTTCCAACACTTATGGATTTAAAATGTACAGTGTTTGCTGTGTGATGAAAGCAGACATTTATCCAGATCAGATAAAAACACAGGTGTTACAAATAAATCTGTAATGGAGCTGTTTTCTCTGAATAAACCGATTGTATGTGGTTTGTGGAAGCTTTGCCTTTCAAAGTTTATGAGTAGATTTGCTCCTTATTACAAGGATATTCTTAAGTACAGTACTGTATATATTTATCATGTTGCCTGATAAGCTACTTGCAATCTGTGCTTTTACTGTTCGCTGGCACCCTAATGTCATTTGTTTTATTAGGTGTTATATTTACAAAACCTAAACATATTAATGCAGAGAGAACTGTTAGTCCTATGTCAAAACAATTAGATATAAACATTTCTGTTATTGGTATTTAAATACCACTTGTATTTTAGCAGTAATTTTAAATATATTAAGTTACACCTTTTTTCTTATTGAGAATTCATAGTAATCTTACAACAGATGTTACAGCATATGGCTCCAGATGACATTTATATTAGCAATACTACATGTATTAATTTAAAACAAGCGAGACATAGACTTTTTTTAAAAGCATTGTATGAAACAACTGTTTTAAAAACATTCTACTTTCGTGTTATTTAGTGTGATTATTTCACACCAGGTAACTTCTCTATTCACTGGTCATGTCTGATTATTGATGAGAAGTATAAAAGTGTTTAAAAAAACTTTCAAAAACACATTTCATCTACCCCAGATATCTAAAATTGAATTTAATGATTTTATACCAGAACATTGCCTGGCATATTTTATCCAAACAGTAATCGTTTAGTACCTCTTCATTTTACATACACAAAAACTACACATTTTAATATATATATTGGCATTTATACAGTAAGTTATAAAAGCGTGGGTTTCAGTGTATCGCTGATTAAAATAACAATGAAAAGCAGTGTTTTGTGGACATCTGAAAATTGATTAAGGTGGGGAGATTTGACAATCTAAAAAGAAACTGTGGACTGTAAAAATTGCATTATCTTTACATTTTTAAAGTTATAATGCACATAGCTCCAGCTGCAGTATCTCATTTGCATGGTGTAATTTTAAAAGAAGTACAAATAAGAGGTTTTTTTTGGAACATGTAATTACTATCTGTATAATGTTATGGCTGAGATCATCAGGGCACCATGTACAGTATGATACCATGGTATTATCTATAAATTATCCTCCCCTGTTGACCTCAGTACAGAAAACATTGATCAGATTTATATACACTGTACATTTATTTATGTTGCTTTAATTCTGACTAGGTGAACATAATAGTTTCCCTTTGAGAAAAGTTATTTCCAGCACTTGGTTCATTATGCCAAAGGGAATTAATGTAAAGTTAAATGCCTGTGTTACATTGGCAATCTGTTTACATGAGACTATTGGACACTATATAATAAAGTTTAATGGCTGTGTGAGTAGTTAGAGAGTAGGGGTGTGAGATAGTACTACTGTTATAAATCAGTCAGCTAACACAGGAGTAACTGTTGTGCTCAGTGCAGAATTACTTTACATGAATAATGGAATGTGACAGCTCAATAAGATCTGAGGTAAAAACAGAGAGTTTAAATGTTATAAAATAATGGCGGATTACCCAGTATATATGTTTTGTAGTAAGTCTTAGCTTTTATCATGTAGTCTAAAATCAGACTACAGCATTTTTCTGAACATATGCTGACATGTACACAACAATTTCCATGTAATGCATACCCAGTTTTCCATTTCAGCACCAATTACTGCTGAACAAGAAGTGGTCCTTTATCTTTTAAAATTTTAAAATCTGTTTTTCTGTCTTTTGGTGCTTTTAGGGATTGACGTTTTAATTCCTGCTGAAAAAAATAATGGAAATGAACTATCTTTACTTGTCAGGTTCGTAAAGAGTATGGCAAGTGTCTTCGCACTCATTGCTGCAGTGGGAAGAGTGTGGAGACCTCTATTGGCTCAGGGAAAAGCTCTGCTTCTCGGACACCTGGAAGATATTCTACAGGCTCACAGGTATGACTGCTTTCCTGAACCTCCTTTTTGGTGAATTCGGAAATGTCTGTTTAGATCTTTGTATTTTTTTTTTTATGTATACTGTATTTTCCCTCCTAGAATCTACCAAAGAAACAAGGATCTTGTTCCAGTTATTTCAAATGCAAAACCCCATTTGTAACCCTTATATTCACCACAGATGCATGTACACGCACAATATTAAGAAGTCACTTAAAAATGTTGTAAACATTTGGAAGAGTGTGATAAACTACTTGTGAAGTTGTGATAAACTACTACACATAACTCTTATCTTGGCATCTTTGCATCAGTGGCTTGTAAAATGTATGAGTTAATAATTCTGTTGCTAATTTATGTCTGTGAATAATATGTCTCTACTGTATGTTTGCTTTTAGGATTTATTCAGCAGTCATGTACTCTCATGCAAAGTATATTATACAGACTCTGGAATGTTAGCTGTTCCAAAGACAAGTTTACATACTGTACAAAGGGAGATAGGGGACTTTAGTTCTTCGCCACTTTGCACAAAGTTTATGGCATTTCCTTGTAAGGGTCATCACAGATACAGTCTGTCTCTGTTTTTCCATCACATTACAAAATAGTATTTCAGACCACTGTCTTAATAACTCAACATCTTGTGTGCCAGTAGGCTTCATACTGTATATCTTGTTACTGTCTTTAATAGTTTTGTCATATTACGCTTATGTAGTGATTAGAATGGGGAGCTGCATCAGCACATGACCTTCAAAGTAACTTGCAGAGGTTAATTCCACAATGAAAAATAAAATGAACAAAAAAACATGTTTCAGCTGTGTGGCCTTTTCAAGTTGTGTGAGGGAATGAGGTAGTAGGAATATGAGGCAAAGAGATGTACAGTATAAGCAGAACAAAAGAAAGAGAATTTGAGAAAGGGTGGAGGTGAGAAGGGGGGTGGCGCAAAAGAGAAAGAATGTGGGAGATGAATTAGGGGGAAAGTGTGAAAGGCAGAAATCTGTAAATGAATGGAGAGATTTAACAACTCAGTATTCAAAACATTCTCACATTCTCTTTCTTTTGTTCCCCTCACCCTCTACCTCGTACTCTTACCTGTAGAATTAACCATACATTTTGTCTTTTATATAAATATTCATTTCACATCAGAAAGTCTTTAATTTCCTCCCCTTGAAGACGTCAGATATGTGATATTATATAGAGAACTTAATGCTCAAGTATTTACCTGTTCAGATATATCTTAATGAGAACAAGAGAAGAAAATATTGTTGTGTGCATAACAGTAGAATAATGAGACAATGGTTCTGTTTCTATTTTGTATAGAATAAAAATAATTTAGAACTGTCCTATTTGCAGAAGAAAATTAATTTCCATATGCCCTTCAGGAAAACATTCAATGTTTTTTTTTTTTGGAAATACAGTCCAAGGTATTCAATAACACAACACAGATTCAATTGCATATGAATTAAACCCTACCCTATATCTGCTTCTCACCACAGTTCCTGAAAAAGCATGAGATGAGCTGGTGATTCGTGCAGGTTTTGGAATTAGAAGTTCACTTTACACAGGTCATAATGTGCTTTAACATAATGTGGGTTGACTGTAACAATTAGCCCCGTTCTTATGATATATATGTTAATTGACACATTAACAGCTGATTATGATGAATGCGTAGTCAAAGAAACATGGGTAATGGAGAATGATGTTGAGAACCACAACACTGGTGGATCTGTGGCTTTCAGAGAGGCAGGAAAATAGAATGAGGAAAGTGTAACTATATATCAAAAAGAATATTTAGTATCTTAGCCTAGTATCTTAATAACTTAGCCTGGAGAAATCAGGGGTCATAGGATTTATATGTGTCAGACATATAAAAAACAACATTTGATGGAGTAGATGGAGGTATATAGGAGCATAATACAGAGCTCCAGAGGCAAATATTGATTCAAATTCAACACTTTGTAATGAAATTAAAATATTTTTGAAAAGGAAGAAATTTGATTTTTTGGGGGACTTCAACTTCCCCCACATATAATGGGGCGATTCTAAAGGAGTGCCAGTAGCAGTCAGAAACAGAAACTTGGTTTCTGACATGGTTAATGGCTGCCTTCTTACTCAGTTTGTCAGAACACCTACAAGAGGGGATGCCTGTATTGATCTAGTATTTTCGAATAATCAAGAGAAAGGGATAAAAACTGAGGAGAGATAACCTTGCGGGAACTGTGATTATAGTAAAGTGTGCGTAGAACTATCCTTTGAAATTAAACTGTAGAGGTATAATCCAAATAAAAAATAAAATTTCTGGAACATAGACTGTGAAAGAATGACACAGATCCTAAGAGGTGTGGAATCTGTGGTAGCTATGGCGTCATTGAAAATGGATAACAAAAGTTTAAGAGATTGTGCTTGAAGCACAGAATAGATTTATGCGTATGGTAAATGAATCAAAGGCTAGAAGCCAAAATGGTTAATCACAGTAGGAAAAATATAAGAACAAAAAACATTTTATAATGATTAAAAATATAAAGATGCAATTAATGAAAAGCAAAATAATTAATTGCAAGTACAGCTAAAAGGATATTGAAAAGGCCAAGAGAGAGAGAGACAGAAAGAGATAGAAAGGAATATTGCAATGGAAACTAAAATTAACAGAATATGTTTTCTTTACTACTTTAACAATATGCCTCAGGCAGTGAAAGGACAAAAATTTGTATCTAAAAGAATTAGCATAGAAGAGGCAGCAGGGATTCAGACACAAAAGATAAACACATCTTTTGGCCCTGACAGTTTACTGTATTTTTTTCTGAAGGAAATAAAAGCCATTAACACAACTCTTCCAACAGTCAATCTAGATAGGGATAGTACCTGTGGATAGGAAAATTATCATCCATAAAAATGGTACCAAACTTAAATATGTTACAATTTTTCTATATATTAGAAAAGGGTATCTACCTTATTACAAATAAACTAGAAGATCACCTGTATGTAAATAAGATCTTAAGGGACAGTCCACACCATTTAGAAAAGGTAGAAAATGTAAGGTTTGCTTAACTGACTGGTAAGAATTCTTTGAGAAAGCAACAACAATAATACACACACTCAGAGCATACAATATTGTGTGTTTAGATTTTCAGAAGGTTGGTGATAATTTTTGTTATAAAAGATTAATAGTTTAATTACAGATAGTATGTATTTTGGAAAATGTACACTGTGTGCTTGGACTAAGAACTAGTTAATGAATAATAAATCAGAGAGAGCACAGAGAAGAGGCATATCCTGTAGTTAACACCAAAATTGGGGTGTTTAATTAGTGGAGTAAAACAGGAGTCTCTGTTAGTGACTCTAAAATTTCTAATTTTAAATTTGGGTATAGTTAATAAATCAAGTTTGCAGACAATACTAAAAAAAGAGGATTAGCAAACAATATAGCAAAAAATTTAATTCAAAGATTTTAGATAAAATTCAAGACATCTGGGAGAAGACATTTAATGCAGACAACTGCAGGGTATTACATATACTGTAGGTATCAATAACAACACTACATAACATATCTATATAAATGGGAAACACTGAATTTGAAGAGGCGAACAAAATATTGGAATCAATAGCTAGCAGTGTAGGATATAAACCATAGGATGTTATGTTAAAATTTTGCAGTGTAAAATTAGGACATCAGAATACAGTGTTTACATATAGTTTTATTAAACATATTAAGAAAAAAGATATTGTTGCTCTGGAATAAATCATAAACACAAGCATCATATGTTGCAAGAAGTTTACATCCATTGTTACTGACATTTTGGGTTCCATTTGTTATTCTCATAGTGATTTTGTTTCTGTATATTTTCATTTTATTGCACTCATGTGAAAGTAAGACTTAAACTTATGTCAGTTAGTAAATGGCTCCCATAATTAAGGATTGCTGAGCAGCATAATCCGTTGGCTTTAATTATATGTGCTGGTGTTTGGTTAAATGCAGTCAGTGGAGAGGTGGTATTTAATGGTCAGACCAAAGGTTTTGAAATAAACATGTAATTAACACAGCATATCACAAAGACATTTCTTGTGACTTTCTGTGATTGGACTCTCAAAAATATGAATTGCAATTGGAAAAAAACAATTCCGCATGTTTAGTATGACATATCCTGTCATATGTGATACCTGTAAATGTTAAGGTACTAGGGGCATTTTGAAAATCTCCAGATTTTGTTTCTCAGTTGTCAGTATAGTCATAAACATTTCTGATTTACATTTAGAACTACACAAGATATAATGCTTCATGTGTACCTACTATACTTATCATCATAATCTGGGCATCTCAGAATATTCCCTCCATTATTAAAGAAGGTGTTCCATGGTGGTTAAGTAAAATGACATGGACATTGAGGTGTGTAAGCACCTTGACTGTTATAGAGGTGACAGTAGTTAAAAGTCTCAAGTCTTTTAACTAGTCCCTCTTAAGTTCACATCACAGCATTACTGATGAAGCACCACCTTGCACAGTGTTTCCAGTTGTTATTTCATCTTTTGTGCAATTTCTTGTTGAGTAGCTGAAGGAGAAAGATTTTGCAGGCTGTACACATTTTTTTTTTGCTTTTTTGTGTGAATATTTCTTATCTCTGACTCCCTCCTGACCCTGTATTGCATAGACCATATACAGTACCACTGAAGCTATTGTTTGATGCTTTGCAAAGACAAGTGTTTTTTGGGGAGGAAATTCTGGATTAATTTTGTTACCATTGACTTGGCATCCTCTTTTACTTCATATTATTACACCATCCCACTGTAGTTGCCCAATCTATTTCATCTTCTGTATCCAGTGTGTATAAATTCCACACTGCTACAAATGCATATGGATGGTCTTCTCAAAAGGATACAGTATGTGTTGATCTCTAGGTTACTTAATATCCCTAATCACAGGTCTTCAGACTACTATACTCAGAGTTTCCTATGTATGTGTACTGTGGAATTGTTTGTTGTATTCTGTATCTCATACCTAGAAGTGTCAGTGT